CAAGTCCGCATCTTGTACAGCAATTAACCACTAAGAAGAATATATGCAGTGTATTATTTGTTGAAAAATTAAAAAAAAAAAGATAAAAAAAAAAAACAAAAAACAAAGTCCTCCAAAACCCAAACACTCTTCTGGTCCCAAGCATTCTGGATAAAGGACACCCAACCTGCCTGCACCTGCTCCATCTCGGGTGCTAAGTGATTGCTTGCGGCCTCATTTCCCACTGTTACTATCATGCACGTCAGTCCTCCTTTAGTTTTCCCCAAGTATGTGTTAATGTGCATCTTACTGCAGCTAAGAAAGCCAAACCACAGCCAGTGGCCAGGAGCAGGCAGAGTGCAGACGCTGGCTTCCTAGGGCTGCACTGGAGTCTGAGCTGTTCCTGGTCCCGTATGAACAACCGAGTTTCTAAATGACTGCACCGAGAGAGCCTGCCAGGAGCTGAGGGGCCGCTGCAGACTCACCTTTCTAGACGGTCCTGCAGGGCTGCTGCCTCCTTGTCTTTCTGGACCACGGCAGCCTGACACTCGGCAAGACAGTTGCTGGTAGAGCTCAGCCTCTCCTGCATGTCCGCCTGGGTGGCCTGCACAGGACACATGGAGAAGGCACTCAGCTGGCTCAAGCCCTCCCCAGCTGCCCCACAGAGGCTGTGTCACTTCTATGGGACAACTTTGTGGCTGCTACTGGCAATGGGGTTAAGACCAATGTTTTTAATCTCAAGAGGCCAAGGACCTGTGCTCTACACAATGGAGTGTGATGCATCTCTAAGTCCCAAGAGCAAACAACTCTGATGGCAGCAAGTGTCAGAATGTCCCCAGTGGAGGGGGTGTACAGTGGCAAGGATGAAGCTAGCATGGCCCGAGCTGGCCAGAGCCTAAAAGTGCCCGTGTCTGACAGCTCCAGCCAGGAGCAAGGGGTCAGGATACAAACTCAGGGAATCTCCAACTAATGACAGGGTGTCTGAGCTGCTTTTGTTTCCGGTGGGGATGGGAAGTCATGCAGGGAGCCCCACGAAGTTTCTGCGATCCCAGACCAAAGCCTGGCTCTCTGGCAGGCGCACACATGCCGCGCTACCTGCAGCTTGCCCACAGCCTCTTCGGCAGCCTGCAGCTGCTGGCCTTGCTGCTCAAGCTGGGCTCTGAGGCTCCTGCACTCTTCAGTGGCAGCCTGAAAGGCACAAGAAGGGGACATCAAAGAGTCGTCCTTGCTCCATGAGCACCTCATCACCCAGGGGTCCAAGCAAGCCACCACTGTTTCTAAGCTGGCTCCTCCACAGGCTTAGGTTCTCCCAGTAATGAAAACTTTAGGGATTACTAATGGAAGAGACTCAGCTTGGCCCTCAAACTGAATCTCATTACTGCAGTGGGAAAAGTGGCCCATGAGCCTCAGGCAGCTCCTGGCATGGGGTGGCCAAGCTGGGCTGTGGCCGGGCGGGGGGCACAGTGCGGCCACCTAGAAGGGCGGTGAGCGGCTGAAGTGTGCAGAGATCTCAATGCACGCAGACCGTGACTTGCAGCGGGTGGAACTGCAGCTCCGCCTGGCCTTGGGGCCCTGTGAGAGCCAGGCCATCAGCGAGGCAGGCACACAGCCTGGGGCTCTGGAGGGGGTTCTGACACCTACATGGCCAGAGGAGGCCGCGCACAAAAGACGGAAAGGGAAAAGCCAGCAGGTGGGAGCTTGCTCTGAAGCGGACAGTTGCCGAGCCCCTGCCAGAGGCGGGGGGCGTGGTATCGGTGGGCAGATCTGCGAAGACCACCCAAGTAGCCACAGACCATCCTGCTCATCACACAGCATCATGTTTTAAAAATGTCTGTGTAGGCTGATCTCATACGCTCTCATATGCCATGGTCTTTTATACCACCAGGCTAAGGCCCCCTCTCCAGGGCGCTGCCTCTCGCGTGTTCCTATAGGCAAAGTAGGGGAGAATGAGGCGGGACCATGGGTGTCTGCCGCACCTGGTGCCTTTCCTGGCTCCCCCCGCCTCATGGCTGCAGAGGCTGCCTCGCCTGGACCCCTCAGTGCTGCCCCGGTTGGGTGGCCCAGTGGCGGGTGCTGGTGGTACCTTCAGCTTCCTCTGATGGTCCATGATTTCAGCACTCAGCTGGAACTTGAGGGTGTCGTGCTCCTGGCACGCAGCCTCCTGGAGGCTCTGTGCCCGCTGCTCAGCCTGTGCCAGCTGGGCCTGCAGGTTGGCCAGGGAGCCTGCGGCGTCCTCGGCCACTGTCAGCTTCTCCTGCAGGCTCGCTGTCTCCTGTAGCAGCCCTGCCACGTGGCGCTCCAGGTGCTCTCGCTCGCGGGAGGCGGCCTCTTGGCAATCGCGGAGCTTTCCCTCCACACGCTCCTTCTCCGCAGTCAAGGTGCAGACCTGGATGCCCAGCTCGGCGGTGTCTGTGTTGGCCCGGTGCAGCTGCTCCTGCAGCTCGGCGTTCTCCAGCCGGGCCTCCTCGGAGCAGCGCGTGGCCCGCGCCAGCTCCTCCTGCAGAGCCTGCACCTCCGGCACTTGCTGCTGAGCTGCCCCAGCCTTGCCCTCCTGCTGCGGCCCTTCCCGAGCTGCAGAGCACTGCAGGAGCTCCTGAATGTGGGTCCTGTTGAGCTCCTCATTTTGCTCCTGCAGCTGCTGCACCAGCATCCTGTGCTCCTTCAGCACCTCCTCAGCCACCCTCAGTTGGCTCTGCGCCTTGTCCTGGCTGCTCAGGGCCGCCTGGAGCTTGGCCTGCAGGTCTACCAGCTCAGCCCGCAACCGCTGGGCCTCTCCCTGGTGGACTTCAAGCTGTGCCTGGGCCAGCGCCAGCTGTGCAGCACCATCTTGGGGTGTAATGAGCCCCTGCTGGCCCTTCTCCGCCTGGAGGGCCTCGATTAGCTGGGCCTGGTGGCGGCACTCGTTGGAGAGGACTTTGAGATCCGCGTCCCGGGACTCGGCCAGCTGCCGGCACTGCACGGCCTCCTCCCGCAGCTGCCGGCACTCGTCCTCCTTGCTGTGCAGAGCAGCTTCCTTTTCAGCCACCTGTGCCTTCATGGCCTTCTTGGCCTTCTGCACGGCCTGCAGGCTTGCCTCCATCTGGTCGCCGAGGTGCCGGATGCTGGCCTGCTCAGCCTCCAGGGAGGCCAGAGAGCCCCGGATGGACGCCTCCCGCTGCTGCAGTGCCTGGTAGTCGGCCTGCAGGGCCTGCAGCTTGTCCTCCAGCAGCTGATTGCGCCCCGCCATGTTCTGCAGCTCCCTCTGCAACTCCTGGTTGGCCTGGAGGAGTTCCTCCTCCTGTCCAGCTGCTGGCACCTCGGTACCACCCCTGTGCCCCTCTTCTGGCTTCTCATCAGCGTGCTGCAGGGTGGAGACTGAGGTGGCAGGGGCCTCTCCTCGCTCACCAGCCACAGGTGGTTCTGGAGCTGTCTGCCCAGCCAGTCGCTCCAGGGCCTCCACTTTCTGGCTGAGGTGGTCCTTGTCCTGAGTGAGCTGCCTCTTCTGCTCCTCCAGCTCACTCACGTGCTGGCTGGCCTGTGCCAGCTGGGACTCCAGGAGCTGCAGCTGCCGACTCAGGGACTGGGCCTCCTGTGCCAGCACCTCTTTCTCTTCCCGTTGTAGCTGCTCCTCCTGCCTCAGCCTTGCCAGCTCCTCTTCCAGCAAGCTCAAGCGGGCTAGCGACTCCTGCAAGTGCTGCTGGAGCTGGGTTGCCTCCTGCCCCTCCCTGGACGGCTCTTTGTGGAGTAGGGCCATCTCCTGCACCTGACGCTCCAGGCCAGCCCGGGCTTCCTCCTTCAGCTGCAGCTCGGTGGCCAGCTGCACCAGCTGTGTGCTCTGCTGCTGGTTGAGCTCCCGGATCTTGGTGCTCTCCCCTTCCAGGGACCGGAGCTTCTCCTCCAGCCTCTGAAGATTTAGGGCTGAGTCAGTCTGGCTGTGCTCCTGCTGTCCTTTTGTGTCCTGGGCTGTATCTGCTCTCTGCTCAGCCCTAGTTAACCAGTCCGAGAGGCTGGAGAGAAGCTGGCTCTTGCCCAGGGAGTCCTGGGCAGCCTTGAGCTCCTGTGCCAGGGGCTGCAGTGTGGCCTCCAGGTGCTGCAGGGCAGAGCTGTGCTCCTCCTTGGCTGTATCCTGATCCAGGGCCTGAAGGCACACCTGCAGCTCCTTGACAGCATTCTGCGTGGCCTGGGTGACCTCCCACTGCTTCCGGAGCTCAGCTTCCAGCCTCAGGAGGTGGCTGAGGTCCTCCGGGGCAGCATGCCCCTGCTGCTTTTCCACCGGCAGCTGCTCCTGCTGTGTGCTGAACGCCGCCCGCAGCTCCTGGTTCTCCCGGTCCAGCTGCTGCACGCGCTCCTGCAGTTGCTTCTCCCGCACCTCCAGCTGGTCCAGCTCTAGCCGCATCTCGTCAAAGCCCTCTAGAGCCTCGTTGTTCAGGGGACTGCTCGGGTCGAAGCTGGAGGCCATCTCCTGGGTCTGGGGAAGGGAATGCAAGAAACAAGGGCTTTGTGGGGAAGCCGACCTGCTAACTGGAGAAATTAGAGTCTAACAAAAGCATTATGCGATCTAAGGTGAGTCTACAAAGCCGTTCAAAGGACTAGAGCTCTGTTCAAAGCTCTGCCATGCAGAGATCAGCAGCATATTAAAAAAGAAGGCAAACGTTTACATTTTTAAAAATTATTACAGTAAGACATTTTGCCACGAGCCCCCTCAAGGTTCTCCCCTTTGCTTCAAAGCCACTCGTCCCGTCACTCAGCATTCTGCAGCCCGCTTTCCTGAGTGTCTTTCAATTAACACTTCCCAGCCGCCTCAACGGCCTGAATGATTCAAAATCTCAATGTGTCATGGTTATTTTGACTCTGGGGAAGAGCCCAGGTCAGTCAGTGGCAGACCTGAGTGAGGTGGATGAGGACCGCACCACACTTTTACGAGCCTGCTTTCTGGGGGATGGCGCTATGTCACGGCAGTCACTGGATTTGTGATCCCCCCTCACAAGTCACTCAGGAAAGAGGGCTCTGGAGCTGCTTCAGAAAGTCCCAAGCGGCCGGGAGTTGGCTCAGCAGCACGAGCCTGCCTGGCAAGCGCAAGGTCCTGAGTTTGATTCCTGGCACAAAAAGAAAAAAAAAAAGCTATTTGCCAAAAATAAATAAATACAAACAAGGTGCCAAAGACCATGGACGAGTGCGTCTGGGGTGAGGGGAGGATTCTGAGACAAAGACCATGGACGAGTGCGTCTGGGGTGAGGGGAGGATTCTGAGA